ATCTTAATTTGCATTTTTCTCACAGTCGTGTGAGAAATACAAACATGAAGAATGTAGCAGTTAAAACCACATAGAACCAAATTATTAGAAAAGAGAACTTGGGGTCAAATTTAAAAATACTGAGCTTGTTTGCCATTGTTTATTCAATAACAATAAGTTTCTGCTTATTCAATAAGCACCCAACTCACTATATACACACATTCATCTCAATGCATTTTGCAGAAAAAGTTGGGAGTAAGAGGACAATGAAGAGCATTGCAACCTTCTTTTCAAAAAGGTGCTTGCCGCCGTCTTCTCCAACCAGCAACAATAATCCCAATGAAACTTCACCGCAGCCCAACTTGAAAACCCACCTGGGCAGTGGCAGCAAATTGTTCCGAGAGGAAAGCGAGAACAAACAAGAGTGAGCTGAGTTCTCACACAACATAAGATAGAACAAAAGGTTCCTTGTCAATGTGTTTACACTGTGTTTTGTATGTAAAAAGTAAATTGGATGAAAGATTTCACAATATGGGGGGCCATGGCCAGTTTTTGAGCTTTCTCTAAGTTTAGACTGATTGTAACAGCATATTTCATAGTACTGTTTTTTCCCCTGTAAATTTTCTTCTCATATCAATCATGCTTGTTCCAAGAAATATTGCTTTTTTAAAGAATAAATTGTGAGATTTCATTCCAAAACTAGTTGTTTTTGAGAAATTTAATGTTCTCAAACCCATAGTAAAATGTTTGAATTTATGATAGTTTGAAATTTTACAAGTATATTCTTGCCAATGTTTATACAAAACTAAAAGTTTAATGGGAAATGCTTGGTTCACAAATACAAACTTCACAAACTTCACAAATTTATTATTTGATGGACAAGAGGAAGATTGAAGCCATAGTACGTTTCCTGCCTATTTCTAGAGACAACAATATACCCTGTATATAATAATATTAATAATAATAATAATAAAAATAATAATAATAATAATAATAATAATCTGATAAAAAAATAGAACATTCATATTCATATTAAAACACTCGCAGAGTAGGACAAAATTACAGTATCCATAAAAATAACAAACGAATCAATACAGTAAAATACAGTAAGCAATTAATTGAATTTCGCATAGAGTAGAAATTACTTATTATTTCCAAGATCCATTTTTTTTTTCAAATTGAAAAAAAATAAAATGGAATCTTCATTTAAACTTGGAAAGGCCATGGCCAGTCCTTGAGCTGGCTATCACCACAGCTGTCACCAACCTTTCCGTTCCTCAACGGAATCGCTCCGCCGCTGCCGCCGTGAACGGCCGCCTTGTACTTCAGAACAAAAGCCAGAGTCAGCGCCACCCACTCCAGGCAGAAGATGAGGGCGGAGAGCCCGCCGGCGAGCCTCAGAATCACCTCGCCGTCCTCCTCCCTGACGTACGACTTGAGGTTCCCGAGGAAGTCCCCCGTCCGGGTGAAGACGAGGATGAACACCGCGCCCTGGAAGATGGCGGCGAGGACGGTGGCGGCCATGCGGGTCCCGTAGAGTTTGGCGGCGGAGGTGACGGCGGCGCAGCCGAGGACGGCGCCGCCGATGGTGAAGGCGTGGAGGAGGATGAGGAAGAATCCGGTGAGGGAGGGGAAGAGGCGGAGGGAGAGGGTGAGGAAGATGCAGCTGGAGGCGGAGCCGAGCAGGACGTAGTTGCAGAAGAGGAAGGCCTTGTGAGTGGCCGTCGATGCAGGGGACTCTGAATCGCCGCCGCCGCCGCCCAACCGCAGACCCATTGTTTTTCTTTTTATAGAGAGAGATTTGCAGTGGGATTTGAATCTTGAAGACTGGGTTGAGAGAGAAATGGTAAGAGATTGCAGATATGGAAGAATTAGTGGAGAAGACGATATATATAGTTATACATTCGGAAGAGAAAACAGAGTGGGGAGCGGTGGGGATGGAGTTCCAACGGGCGAATTTCAAAACAATATGACCGTTGTGTGGAAGGCAGGGGAAATGTGACATTTTTTCCCAACGGGTTTCTTCTTTTGATGAGCTGGAAATGAAATCACACCCCACCATACACATAAAAGACACATACTCAATAATTTTTTCCCTCATTGTGATTTCTTTATGATATTATTGATTAATGCTAGAATCACAAACTACTGGAACACAAATTACACAAACTTGTTATTTGTGTACTTTTCTAATGGAATAAAGTGATTTTAAATACTTACAAAATGAAAATTGAGATACATAAATAGTAAGTTTGTGTAGTTTGTGTCCAAGTTGTTTGTGACTCTAGCATTACTCGATATTATTTTCAAATTTTTAATATTAATATACAAATAAATTAAAAAATAATACTTACATCACTAAAAATATATCTAATACTACCTCCATCCCGCTATATTCGTCCACTTTTGACTTTTGGAAATGTTCATCTAAGCACTTTGACTCATCAAATTCTCTCAATGTGTAAGTCTAAATATAGTCATGTGTGATCTTGTTTGATTTGTCTTAACATATAGATTATTAATATATAATTTATATACTCCCTCCGTCCACCAAAGATCTCCCCATTACGCGTTACAAGGCTTGACCGCCTTTATTTTTAATTCAATTTAATTGATTATAGGAGTAAAATTTTAAAATAAAATTTATATAGTAATAAACTACATGAAAAATTCTACAAAACTAGAGGTGACAAGACTATATTATTTTATGAAATGACTAGTAAAAATGAGCAAACAAAGTGAGTGAAGTTTGACCCTGTGAATAGTGACTGGGAAGATCTATGGTGGACAGAGGGAGTAATTTTTTAATATACAAATTACAAGACAAAATGTGTTAAAGAAATGCATTGGATGATGTACAAAAATGAAAGTGGACAAATACTCTAGGACGGAGGGAGTATTATACAAAATAAAATATGACAATAACACAAGACTAATTTTTATAAAATGAGTAGTAAAAATTACAAACGAAAGAAAGAATCTCCCATGTTTACAGAGAAAACGTCCGGTAATATAATGCTCTTTTTGTCTTATACTACCTCCGTCCCACTCTCTTTGTCCACTTTTGACTTTTGGAATTGTTCATCTAAGCAATTTGACTCATCAAATTCTCTCAATGTGTAAGCCTAAATATAGCCATATGTGATCTTGTTTGATTTGTCTTAACATATAGATTATTAATATATAATTTTTATAATTTTTTAATATACAAATTACAAGATAAAATGGATTAAAGAAGTGCATTGGATAGTGTTCCAGAAGGTAAGTGGACAAAGAGAGTGGGACGGAGGGAGTATTTCTTCTCATTTCACTTTTTACTATCTCCAACGTAATATTTTGACTATTAATATTTTGATTTATATATTACTCCATAGAGTATGATGAAATTATAGTATAACTCCGAAGTACAAAATTACGTCTCAAAGTGAATCTATTGATATTACATTTATATTATACTCTCTCCGTTCCACAAAACCCTTCCTCTTTCATTTTTTTTGTTTTCCGCAAAAACTTCCACTTTCTATTAAAAAACCACTTTTACCCCTACTTTTTCATACCCTACCTATCATATCATGCTTTTTCACTAATAACCAAACTATCACATCTTACTTTTTCCCATCACATCAGGAGCAAAATTGGAGAGTCAACTAAAATTACACTTTTCTTATTTTTCCCCAAAGTCAAAATCGGAAGGGTTTTGTAGAACGGAGGGAGTAATTCAATGTACCTTATCCATAATTTGTGATCTAAGTTTCAAAATGTTGACCATAAAAGTATTCTAAAATTTGAATTGCATGATTCACGATGAACTGAGTGTTGGTTCGTTTTGAAACTTACACAGATGAATATATGTGGCACTAAGTTTTAGTCTTACGGCGGTTTCAAGTGAAAATAATCCGAGCAAAAGATATGACTATGGTGTTAGAAAAACCCGTTGTTGGGTATCCTAATATTTTTTCTACTTTGGCAGTCCAATCTATTCCAAATTACACTGTCTATTTGCTATTCACATGATCAAACCTCATTCAATTTATTCACATATTTTCGTTACTCATTTGACAAAAGAATATAATCATGTCACTTCTTATTTCCTAAACCTTTCCGATGTAATTTTTAAATAATGAAATTTTAATTTTTAATTTCACCACATATCTCAAATAAATTAAATTGAATATCATTTTAATCAAATATCGTAAATAAAAATGGGACGATTCCAATAACACTAAGTACCATTGGAAATTTGAAACTGCAGTGTGCAATGCATGCCACTACTATGTTGGAGCACCAACGGTGCTTGTTCATAAAATTGATAGTTCTTACTCCTGCAACCCCCTGGTAAACCACTATCTTGACCTGGCCCGAATCTACCCTCACCCCTTCAATTTCATTTATAAAATTTTGTTGATTTTAAGGTCAAATTTTTTTACCACAAAGTCATCAAAAATTTGGTAATGAAATTGAAAAGGTTGGGGTGAATTCAGGCTAGGATGAGTTGGGAGGTTCACCAATCATGTTAGGAGAGTGGGAACTAGTTTTGCAAACATAGCACCCTATATGTTTCAATTGGAACTGGTGTCATGTGAGTGTCAACAGAACCTAGCTAAATCAAAAATGACAATTTAATTTGAGACAAGAGTACTAACTAGCATAAAAAATTATACTCCGTAATTACTAGCTAGTATAACAAAGTAAAAAATAGATTAAAATAATAAAGTCATTCATTAAGCTTATTAAAATTGGCTTACGTTTTTTTTTCTCTATTTTTGTTATGTAACATGAATAATAGAATAGAATTATAGAACAGAATTTTGAAGTATCCTAATAATTTATTCTTTAATTGACTCGCATGATTTCTCTATGACTCACTTGAGTATCAATTGCCCAGTTTCAATTTTGCTTAAAATCCATTTAAAAAAAAACAATGAACTTAAGTTGAAACGGATGGAATATCAAAAATTGAAAATAATCACATTCCCTAACAATATCCATATGGTTATCCGACTACATTCATCATTTACAAACAAAACTTTTAGCCTTCATTAAAAAAATTTGATATCTAGACCACATCCTGGTTCTTTTGCACTGGACCCATTTAAGGCTCTTACAATGTTCCGTTCGATCCTGGAGTGATTCATTCTCCCCTTACAAACACCCAACCTTCTCACCCTGTTTCACTCATGTGCTACAATGTTCACTGTAGCATATGGGCAAAACCACAAGAGAGGGGTAAAGGGCAAACTAGGGAGAAAAGTTTGTGAGTTTGGGATCAAACAGAGCAACGGGATCTTTAAATGGATCCGTGTCATATTATGACACTAGCCCTAGTGTCAAAAGAACTGGACTTCAATAGACCAAATCCAGCTAAAAATAGTCTTAGTGATTTTTGTAAAGATGCCCATATATAATCTCTTCTATCATATTCCACATATGGACTAGGGGTGAGTGTAACATACACAATCGGTTAAACAGAAGCATTCCAACAGTAATAGGGTAAATTTGGAATTTTACGTGGGAGAGTCAGATTTTACTGGAGTGGGTGTCATCGGTTTCTAGCTCAGCCCCAAACTTCTCCAACCTCTCAGCTTCCCCTTCCCAATCTCTCACCAGAGAGTGGTTCACAGAACCATCGTCCTCACTCGCATGTACCTGTCTCCCACCAAACCTTCACCAACCAAACATGATGTTAATGGGGGGAAAATAGAAAAATGGAACTGTGATTGAAACTGCTCTGAAAAGCTTACCATCGGCCGTTCATCAACTCGATGCATTTCCGTGCATCCTTCCTGTCTTTGAATCTGATCAAAATAACTCCTTGTGGATGATTCTCACATACCTGCAAGAGAGCAGCCAAGTTGATGGTGATATACAACGGATAAATGCTAAAGGCCCGTTAGGAAAACAATAAACATGAGACAAAAAAGAGGACAGAAATTTTGAAGGAATATAAAGGATATACCGAAGCTATTTGTTCTAGATATTTATTCATATTGATTTTTTACTCTTTTTTTGTAATATGATTTTGGAAAGTTGCCAATGGAGGTAGTAAAAAGTCATTTTTCACATTAAACTTCTCTTGGTTCCTACTTTCTATAACGTTTTGAGCAGTACATGCATCTATGCATCACAAGCCTAACGGAAACATTCTCTCTGTTTTTGACATGGTAAGGTTGTATACATCTTCAAACGGAGTTTGGATTATAATGGGTTTGTTGTTATTATTGATTTGTAATTTTTTCCCCTGTATCTATCTCATTTCATTGACATTATCCAAGAATCAAGATAAAGCCAAACACAAAAAAATGCCTTTCCCTGGCATTTTCATTTCCATTGTCATGCAATATCTCAAGCATGTAAACCTAAAATATCTGATATCAAATTTAGTAACAGACAGATACCTTAATTGAATCAACAGGTCCTAGTTTTGCACACTCCTCCTTAACATCTTCCTTCAACTCAGGCAGCAAACTCTCATCTGCCTGTGGTCAATAACATTCACATTTTACTTTGAAACACACTTTTATAACATTTACAACTGTGATAGATTATATATGTTACTCTATATTTTACTTAGTAGCAGATACACTCACAAAAGACAACTATCAGATTTTTGTTACTCTACATAAAATGGTATAAGTTTAGATTGAGGTTAAAAATAATGTGCATAGATATCATAAATGGATAAAAAATAATCACAAAGATATTTAGTCAACCCAGACTACTAGCGAAATAAAAACAGAGGGAGTGTATAGACCTTACCCCCACCTAGATACTTGTTCCACACTTTATGTCCAATAACTTAAATATAGTAATTAAAATAGTAATAATAATATTCAAAATTGAGTTGTAAAAATAGAACACAGAAAGTGAAGCACAAGTTGGTTTATTAGCAAACCAGTATCTGTATCAAGTACAAACATTAGTGAAAGCACACGTGAAATTAAATTATCATATCTAACAGAATAGCCATAAACAAATGATAGATATGTAAAAAATTGAGAAAATAATAGATTTTTAAAGAAGGATCAGTTCAACCAGTCCAGCCAGAAGATTCCCAGTTGGATTTCCAGCACTATAGAACTGGCTAAATACGGGTTTATGGGCAAACCCACCAGCTGGTCCAATCAGCCGGTTTGGTCTGGGTTTAATAGTAGCACTGGCTTTGACCAAGAATGGCAAAGATGACAATATTTTATATTGTCCCTGAAATCAGAATGTTGCAGAAATGCACACAAACTGTAAAAGGATATTTTATGCATAGCAGATTTGGAACCCGACACAGTGAGACAAGAGAGATTTAGAAGCTAGGTGGGGATGCAATACCCTTAGCTCAGCTGGTGAAAACATATGACGAAGAACAACAGTGGCTGGAATTGACACTTTTTCATCATCCCGACCACCTAATGCAGTGAGAAAGACAAAATTAAGATCATTTCAAAGATTTAAAATAAATATTGAAATTTCCAGCTATAGTCAAATCTAGGTAATAAAAATTAGATTACTGAATGAGTAAACACCTACCCCAACCAAGCATCTTATGTTCAACCTTTTGAAGCTTCCTCTTTTTTTGCTTATCTATTTGTTTGGTTATGAATTTATCTCCTGAAAAGCAATGCATATCATTGGTAGGTAAGCATTGAATGAAGGAACTACAGAAGTTTCAATGTTAAAGAATGTTATGTACGTGTGTCCTATTTTCTCAATAAATGCACAAATCAAATCAAGACAGAAAATAATCCATGTTTTAAACCTTTCTGTTCGAACTTAGCTCGTGTAACTGACATAAGAATCTTGTCACCAGGCCGCAGTGGTGCCCCATCCAGAATCTTGGTGGCAAGTTCAACAGAAGCTTCCTAATGGCATTATGGAAAAGAAAAATACAACTTCATTAATCACAAGATCATATTGAATTAAGCCACTCCATATTTATCTCTAGCCATAACTGATAACTCAAAAGGCACGATCTAACCTTCATATATGTAACCAGAGCATCACCCTTTTTCCTTCCAGTTTCTTTGTCAAAATAAATCTTCACTCTGTGCTTTTTTGTATCCACGTCCTACATTTTCCCACATATTCAGATAATACAACTGCATGAAGTCCATTCAAAATAAGTGTATGTGCACAACTCACACATGGACAACCAACAACATAGAACACAGTCAACACACTATCCAAGAACGTAGGAGGGTGCATAGACCAGGGGAACGGAGGAAGGAGTAAGCATTACTGGGTGCCACCCCACCTCAAATTCAATCCCGAATTCATTTTGTAAGTGTAAAAGTTTTTCAATAATATTAATGAATTATTGTTCTCTTAACCAAGTTGTGTGTTACAAGGATATTTTTAGTTTGCAGTCTTTGCACCAATACTAAATTCAGTTTTCAATTAAAATGCGGACACACATACTGACATACCTCTTTTATGATTCCACACTTGGAAAATACTTCAACAATCTGCAAGAAAAGTCACTGCTTTAGTAAGAGGAATAATACATGGACCAATTTCAAAAAGACCACATTTTCATAAAAGACACTAACTAACCAATGTTATGCAGTTACGGATGAAAAAAATAGTTAAATAGTCTGTGACACACACACACACTCATGCGTGCATGAATACAGTTTTCTATACCATGCTATTGTTTTGAAACAAAACATGACTCACCTCCTCAACGGTAACGTCTTCTGGTAATCCGGTCACATATACATGAGTATTTACTTTTAATTCAAACCAGCTATCAGGGGGTTTGTTGGCTTCCTGCAAATGCATCAAATTGCAAGGGAATAGATGAATATATTTAATTTCATAAATGTGCTAAACCTTTTCACATTTAAGTGACAAGATACTGCCATTATGAAGAATGGTATAGATGGAAGTGAAAGAAACCAAACAACTATGACATGTGGGAGAGTAACCTTCTTCTCAGAAGTTTCCTCAGGCAGTTTTCTCTTGCTACTGTTTCTTTCCTTACTTTCATTAGATTCCTTGCTATCCTCTGCAGTAGTAGTAGCATTAGTAGCAGTAGAGGTGCCCACTTTTCCATTCGCATCAACTTTTATTTCGGAAAAATCACCCGCTTCTAGTGTTGGAAAGACTTCATCCTCTTTCACATAAACCATGTCTTCCATACCATACATATTGCTTTCAGATGCAGTTTCCTGTTAAAATTACATCCGATTTCATCATATTATTGCACCCAGCTCTCAGGTCACCCAAAACAAATTTAAATGCAAATATTGATGACATTATGCTCATAAATATTTATAAAGTTATTCAAAGAAGAGAAGACAAAAACAATGTCAACATTTATGCTCGAGTGTTAAAAGATAGTCAACCTGAGGAACCCAAGCCCTAATAACTTTGTCCCACTTATATTGTGTACCATCATCATCAATGAATTCTTCTTCTCCCTCGGGTGGAGTGGAAGGCCTCTCTATATCACCATTGATCTCTTGTTCAGCCTCAGCTTCAGCCTGTTTGATCTCCTTTTGAAACTTTTCAAACTCATCTTCATCGTTAACAGAGACCACACCATCTGCCCAAAACAAATAAACAAGTTACCAAAAGATCCTCACAAGAAGTCCATATCCTATCGAACACTTTGACCACACATTTAGTCACACATACTTGGAGAACCAGCACTGAGTTTAGGAAGATCCGTCAACAGCCCAGGAATTGAAGAGAGCGGTTTCCAATCATTCCACCCTTCCGACCACACAAGGGTGTTCTCCACAAGATACCCATTTGAATAATGCTCTGTCCAGTTGAATCATACAAGGATATACAGACACGGTTCATTACCTCCTATTTGAACATTGAATAGAGATGCTTATTGGCTACTTGTGGAACTGGAAGTGCCAATAAAAAATTGCAAACACGCAAAAGAGAGAAGAAAAGAAAGCATCTCAGAAATGAAGAAGAACATAGACGCAATAAAGACAATACCCAAACATGCCCAACTCCAAAAATTGCACATATTCAAGTTTACATGTAACTAGCAGAATAACAGTCCACTATTTTTTTCAAAAAATCAATAACACCAGATTACACATTAACTCACCTCTTAACTCAGCAGTTGTATAAGGGCCAATCAGTTGTTGATCTTGACCAAGAATGAACCAGCCAGCTTCAGTCCCCATTCCAGAATCTTCAACCTCGCTGCTGCTTTAACCTACACAATCCAATGTAACTCCGATGACTTCAAATCATAATTTACCGCACGCAAATGTTACAGATGCTAACTACACCCAAAGCTCCAAAAAAAATCGATTGATCATATGAAAATAGGGGAAACGATGAACAGTAAGCTAATGTAACCTTGGCAATTAATAAAAATCGGTTTCGGAAGATAGCAGAAGGTAAAAGAGATGGGAGAATTTGGTCGGACTGTGAGAATTTAGTTTTTCTGAGTGGCCTACACAGTGCGAGGGAAGGAGGGAGAGGAGGAGAGAAGGCCGACTCGAGAATCCAGATACGGGTTAGAAAAAAAACCTAAAATTTAGTTGATGGGGAGACAAGTAGCCAATTTTAGGGATTATTTGGAATTTTATATTTTTAAATTTTTAGTAAGGAACCATTCGGACCAATATTTTTAACATTATTAATTCCAATTTTTTCACGTTAATATTACCAGAAATTATCACATTTTACATCGTAATTCCAACCTCACAGTGTTAGCATTTATCTAAATTATGTAGAATTATTTTAGCTGATAAGAATTGATAACATATTTAAAGTTATAGAATTGAATTAAAGGACATTTAGATTTTTTATGAACAACTTAATAGAGGAATCGCAAATGAATCCAATGTATCATCCTTCTTCCTCCTCAACATGGAAGTGACACATGTATCGTCTATTCGTCTCCATATCCATTACTCATCTGATAAAATAATATAATCACGTTCGTCACCTCTTGTTTTAAAAAACTTTTGATATAGTTTTTAAGTAAATATTAATTTTATTTTTTAATTCGACACTAATTTTCAAATAAATTTAATTATATACTCCATAATTATTAATGATCAAATTATCGCATTGAAGATCATAAGAAGTCAAATACAACAAAGCGGGGTCAAAATAGTCGTCTTAAGAACTCCCAAAGCAACTAATGCCACAACTACCTAGCCAAAGAAATAAAAAGACCAAATTGACATTGGCAATTGAAAAAGGACACATCTATAGATTATTATCGTTGGGTTACATGTGATGCTTTTTCTTCATCAACAACAAATGCATTCAAAAAATGAACATATGCCAATGCCATATATGTTTGCTTCCAGCTGAATATAAAGATTTTGGCAAAAAGAACATACAACCCTTGTCTTGCTTCATCCCCAACTGCAGAAATAAGGAAAAAAAATCAGACAGTTAAATCATCTTATAACAGGGGAAAAAAAGATTGGATGTTCCATTTTGGGCTAACATATCTTAAATAAAACAAAAGGATACTTTTTATCTTTTCTCTCAAATATCCCTTTGTCCCAAAAAGAGGGTAGTTCCCATGACATTGTTCAGCAATGTGAGCCCGACAATACCTCGTTTGTAAAATTGACGGTTCCTACTCCCGGCAAACCCCCTAACCCTGCCCCAACCCGAACCCACCCCATCACCCCCTTCAGTTGCACCACCCCCCCCCCAAAGCTTATTTGACTTTGGGTCTCCGGGTCATCCCATGACATTGCTAAGCAATGTCAAGGGAACCGCGGTGCCCATAAAAATATTCACTCTTTTGTTTTTTTTGTCCATCTAAAAAAAATTCACTTTCTTTCTAAGAAAAAAATAATACATGGCTCAAAAAATTTTCCTAACAAATTCTAACCATATTTTTTACTTTTTAACAACAACAACAACAACAACAACAACAACCCAGTTAAATCCCACAAGAGTAGGGTCTGGGGAGGGTGTGTGTACGCAGATTTCTTTAATTCCGTGTAAGTCAAACTATGAAGATTTTTTGTTTGCCTCAAAATAAACTTCACATTTCACATTACTCCCTATGTACCAAAATAAACTATCACACTCTCCTTTTCCGTTCGTCTCAAAATAAACTTCACATTTCTCCTATTAATTTTTAAGGAATGAAACATATGGCTCCCAAGTTTTCTCTCATCACCAAAGAAATTACAATCACATACTTTTGCTTTTCAATGCTCTTCTTAAATTTTGTGAAGTCAATCAATGAAGTTTATTTCCGAACAGAGATACTATTCCTTAATCCAGACACAATTGCAGCAACCTCAACTAAATTTTACCCTTACCAAACAATCTCTAGGATTACAATGCAGAGTAGTGCAAAGAGAGCCCCACTCAACAACCCAATATAATCCCACAAATGTAGGGTTTGGGGAGGGTGGGTGTATGCAGACCTTGCCCTACTTGAAAGACAGCCCCACTCAATAATAATTTTATAAAGATAACAAGAAGCATACCTATTGTAGTAGGTATGACTCAACGACAGTTCGGCCGAACTTTTCTTGGACATCCTTTGGTGTCTCAATCTGGAAATATGAGACTTTGATAAGAGACAGAAGAGAGATATGGAGATTGTGTATTTGCGATACGGTGTTTCAATTTGTAATTGTATAAACGCAGCACCCAACTTACCGCATTTAGAGCTTTGAATATGGCCTTAACTGTGTTATGAGGATTTCTCGAGCCAATAACCTAAAAGGGTGTTATGTCAGAAGAACTAATTGATAATGTAGGTAAGAGTAAGACTGGTAGAGTTAGCATTAAAAAAAGAACCTTGGATTTTACATTCTTGAAACCAGCTAAATTTAGGATTGTTTGAACAGTTCTGCCTGCTTTCATTCCTGTTTGAGTAGGTGCAGGCCAGAGATATACCTGAAGAAAGTCATAAGCAAACATATTTTCAAGGATAAAATATCAAAGTTAGAAGACACACCTTACTATTAACTCGAAAAGTTTTCAGTTTTCTAGGAAACTAATCAGAAAGCATATTTAGTTTTCCATTTTTTCAAATCACCAAAGGTCACCCTTGCTACAATCAGTAACCTCCTCCAGCCACTGTCGGTGACCCCAAACTACCAACCCATCCCCACCTTCACCCATTGTGACACATGTAAACACCGTCACAGTCTTCACCACTGACAACGATCATTTTTACTACCACAAGTAACTATCAATATTGCAGCCGTTGACTACCGTCAACCCCCACCACCTTTGCTGACCACTACAACTGGTTCTGACACTACATGTGTGATGTTGGAAATATAAAAGCGAAAAAAACAAAGGGTCAACACACCCAGATGGTAATTGAACCTTAAATGTGGATATGGTTACCAAGTTACAAAAAAGAAAAGATGAAACCTGGACCTTAGTATTTTTATAGTTTGTTTGAACTGCATGTGCAATGGTGTGTTCTTCATGCCGCTCAATATAATGGAGGTTCTGAAAGCATTTCTCATATGCCTGTAGTTACAAAAGAGTCCTGAGAATAAGTCGATTAACTGAACATCACAAATAATCTTTATACTCACTCCATTCAATTACATAAAAAAAAATTTCAAAGGGTTGTATCTTGGTATGAGGTATAGAAAGACCCATTGTCAATGAAACCTAGCTAAAGCAGAAAAATTGGAGAGCATTGAGCTACTACATCTTCATCGCATTCTCCTCACCACTTTTGCGTGACTTGTCTTAGTTAAATTGGGTATTTGCTCAACTAAGCTATCATTTTATTTTGTAATGGTTCATGGGATTGTGACCACTAATCAATCTCTCAAAACACAGAAATTTGTTGTGATCTCATGTTACTGCTAAAACACGGAAATATAGGGATTGAAAAGTAATGTCCTCACTAAAAGATCGACTGTAAACTTAGTAAACCGAAACTGTTTAAACACGAGATTATCTTGGGCTAGACTGGGCTGGCTGTGTAAATTTCCAATCTATACTTTTGTCGTCTTGTATTATAAATATCTGACTTTTTGCATGCATTATTGGTGGATGCAGTGAAAGACCCATCTTCTCTTACCAGAGTTAAGTACAACAATGGCATTCAAGTTTATAATAAGCAGAACCTAACAAAAATCATTGGTCCTCTGACAAAAATCAGCAGAACCTCATTTTGAGATAGAGTAAAGTTAGGTTGAACTCACACCAACAAACTGGTCTCAACTGAATATAAACACTAAGTAGCAATTTCTCATACCTTTTGAATGGCAATTGGAGCTGCTGGACCCTTTGCTTTTGCAAAACCAATGACACCATTATAGTTCCCACAGGCTAGAAGAGCAGTGTACCTTGCAATTCTTCCTCCCTACAGGTTTGATTTCAGGATGAAACTCTGATAAAGATGACACAAGAAATAAGAATCTTAAAACAGAAAGCTTGCATTACCTTTGTAACCTTAGATGTCCTATTGATACAAATTGGTTTCACATCAAATCCCTGCAACGGAGAAGGTAGCTCATTTATTATTTTAAAAAACAAACCCATATAGCACCATTGAAGAACATGAAGATTACTAAGTAAATAGTCCTGTTCCTTAATACCAAGCACAATTTGACTTGCACATAGATTAAGAGGAAATGAAAGTACAAAAAAAGAGTAAATGAAAGTGAGTTATTTATGAGCGAGAAATGATTAGGCTTGATGGAAAAGGCAAAGGAAAAGTTGAAGTGGATGAGAGAGAACAATATGGGTCTTAACCAAAAAACTGAGAGTAAATGTGCACCCTAATATGGAACGACACAAAAAGGAAAGAGTGCAGGCTAATAAGAAGGAACAGAAGGAGTATTAAGTTGACCCTGAAATTCTGGAGAAGAATATAAAATAATTAGAAAAACTTTTCATAAGGAAAACAACTAGAGGTGTAAGCAGTAAAAGAGCACAATATCTAGATGAGTTTTGGAAGTCAAGAACATAAAAAAGTGGAAATGGACTTACTTTCCGGTAAAGAGGCCTTCTCTTCTTCTCGGTCAATGAGTTCCTCTCATCAGCAAGATCTCTAATTTGCTCCTCGAGCTGCTTCCCCTTCCTCCCAAAGGTGTGTTCAAGTTCTGCCAGCTTTTCTTCAAGTTTCTTATCAATTGCATTAAGCTTCTCCAACAGTATATCATCCCTTTCTTTCATGTCATCGAACTCTAACTCATTGTCACTGTCATTCTTTGCTCCTTTAGACGTCTTCTCTTCCTCATCAAACTCAGCACGCTCAGAAGCATCAACAGAGGACCCAACCACCTGACGTTGAATGACTCCATAATTGGCCGGATCATTTGGATCATAGGCTTCCTTCCATCTCACCATCCTAAGTGCCCGGTTTATCTTCACTTGAAGGAGAAATTTTTCCTTACCCTCAGCAACTTTCAACCGGTTCATAAGCTCGCCAATCACACGGTACTCTGGTTTGAGAGGGAAGTGCTTCTCCTCAAACTTATCAATTCTATGCATCCATTTGTGTGCTTCATCAAGAGTCTCTGAAGACAAGCAATTGGGTTTCATGTAACATATTCGCTTCTAAACAAAATAGCCGATACGAGCATTTGTTCTAAAAAACAATATCTACTAAACAAAATCTATAATTCAATACAAATATTAGAAAACACTATATACTGCAGAAATGAAATTCTATTTGAATACGAGCAGATTGTGATGTACATACTAGCAGCAGTGAAATTTTTAAGGAGCCGTTCATGGTGCTCAAACTTCTTCTCGAACACAACCCACCGTCTCTCCAGGGCTTCAGAGCCCCATTGTTCATCGTCATCATCTGAATCAGAGTCAGTAGGTTCTCCGTACGAGGGTGCAGACTTCTTCAGACTCTCCTCGCGCTTGTCGAGCTCCGCGACAAGAGCATCTAGGTCGGCCGTGTCCAGTCCCTGCTTCAACCTCTCCTCCTTCTCCTTAAGCAAATCCCTCCGTTCCTGGAACAGAGAGTCTTCAAACTTCCCCTGCCACTGCCTCTCACGATACGATGCAGACGAGAAGAAGCGTGGAGCGGGCGCAAAATGCGGCTGAGACAGCAACGGAGGCCGCAGAACAACCGCTGGATTGGATGACCCCGCCGCCGGAGACGGCGGTGTGATGATTGGTCGGAGCTGATTGTGAATCAAACGGGACCATACTGTTGCGAATCTCCGATTCATCGTCGTCGCCTTCATTTCATTTCCAATACGATTCAAATTCCGGTCAGAGGATGGGTAGCCCGGACGGTGAGTTGGGGGGTGAGCTAGGTCGCCGGGCCGGCCTTAGTTCGCTGGACTGGTGGAATGTGGCCGTGGTTTTACTGGTTTAGTGTTTTTCTATTTGTTTGTTTAGGGTTTAAGAATTAAGAGTATAACTAAAAGGAAAAGTTTTGGCTAATTGATTTGGGTTTTAAAATATTTTACAAGTTAAATTTAATAAAATTATATTTTTTAATGAATATCTAATATCAATTTAATTGATAATCAAATTTTATCAATTTTAAATACTACGTATAAAAAATTAAAACTGAAAAAATGCTTCGATGATAATTTAATTAAATGATATTTTGATGATAATTTAATTAAATAATGTTTCGATGATAATACATAGTAACATACTAGAACAAGGAAAAAAAGGACTGTATGCCCATCCTACTCCATTAGTATGAAAGAACTCAACAAAATAGAAGCAAAATATATGGATTATCTCCAAAATAAGAATGACATATTCTTATCTCTAAAACAAGACTATTTCATTGTAATAATATTACTTTATACATTGACATTTCACAATATTTTATGTTATCAGCATATTTGATCATATGTATTATTTTGAGGATAAAACCATGAAGATCATATTTTGATTTTTTAATATTGTAGTTCTATTTAGTCTTTTCTCTCTTAGTATGAAGCTTTTTGAGGGTTATCAAAGATAAATTTATGAAAATTTAATCCAAAGCAAAAAATATCATACCAATATGAAGTTAGAATTATGCTCATACAAGTTTACAACCCCATCGTGTTATCTAGCTCCAATACCACACCGAAAGAAAAATAGAAAAAAAAAACCAATTCACCCTATATAAGTATTAGTGTATTACCCAACTCCATTAATATCTTTTAAAAGATGTCAAAAAAAAAACAAACTCTAAAAGATTGATGAAATATGTGCATTCGGCATTTTTGGGGAAAAAATTTACCCACCTCAAAAACATCAAAATCCCTTTATAAAATTAGCCAAACTCTTATGTAAATAACGCAAAAAAAGCTTTATTTATTTTTCATCTGCCCTGAAATGATCTTCATTTATAACTATAACCACTACTTTTTCACATTTCAAAGCTTTTTTAAACTCCGTAAAAGTCAAACACAAAAGATTATTTTGGAACATGAGTGGAATAGCACTTTAGTGTTTGGCACACATGTGAAAGAAGCAAATGATTAAACATTGTCAATAACGACTCTTTTGGCTAGCTCCCTTAGTAATGGACAGAATAACAACATTGTACTCCTACCGCGAAAGAGACGACACCATAACTCAGCCTTTTAAACATGGAGATTAAACCGGTTCACTGTGCCTTCTTTTTGTCAAAGAGCAAACCCAAAGAGTAGGTGTTGCCCTTCTCGGCTGCCACTTCTATACGCTTTGCTCCGATCTACAAGGGGAAAAAATCCCATTTTGAACTCAGCAACCATAGAAAAAACACTCCTCTAGTAGACTACAAAAGTCTACATGCAAAGATAAACTCCACCCAGAGAGTTTTCGTCCACTTTGACTTTTTTCGAATACAATGAAATAATGCTTTCAAAATTTGTCCAGTTTGACTCGAAAAAGTCAAATTAGACGAATACTCTGGGACGAAGGTAGTAGGAAATAGACCTTGTCCATTAGCCAGTATCCAATAGTTGGCGCATACTGCACTAAGTACATCACTGCAAGCACAGGCTGAAAGGCAACGCAACAAAATGTAATGTTTAGGCCTTGGTCAGGTGGATGAAAACTTATTTTACCCTCAAATTGACTAGGCCATAATAGGTTGAATTATTTACCTGATATGATATCCAGGCTTCCTTGAGACCATGGCTGGCTGCAATTATGGTCAGCTCTGCGCACCGTTCAGAGGAGACGCGCTTCTGTAAGAAAATTGGAAAATAAGAGAAGACTAGTGAACGTATTTAGACATATTTACTCCCTCCTTGCACAAAAGTTTTTCCACTTTCACTTTTCATCCGTCCCAAAATAATTTTCTCACTTTTTCTCTTTCGATTTTGGAAAAGGGTATGTGGTCAAAAATACTTCTCTCTCTCCTAAACATATTCTAACCACTCATCTTCCACTTTTCAAGATCTTCTCAACACTTATCTAAATCTCCTTGAAGTCAAAGTGAGAATAGTTGTTTAGGTGGTTTTAGAAAGGTATATCATATATGGGGTGGGGTTCCCAAGACATTGGAACCCAATGTCATTGGATGACCCGGGGGTGCTCCGGTATCCCGTTCATAAAATTGACGATTTCTACCCCCCTAACCCCCCGGTAAACCCCCCCCCCCACCCCGCCCCGACCCGAACACACCCCCTACCCCCATCAATTGCACCCCACAAGTTGATTTTGACTTTGGAGTCAAATTTTGACTCCAAAGTCAAAATCAACTTGTGGGGTGCAATTGATGGGGGTAGGGGGTGTGTTCGGGTCGGGGCGGGGTGGGGGGTTTACCGGGGGATAGGGGGTAGGAACCGTTAATTTTACGAACAGGGCACTGGAGCGCCCCCAGGTCATCCCATGACATTGCCGGGCAATGTCATGGGAACCTTGAACTTTGACAATGCAGCATAAGGATCAGCATTGAGTTTCATTCGAATGGGATATTAAAAAAAAAGGTCGTCACCTCAGTGGCACCGGCACCCCCTGCTCTTGAGATGCTTGCTTCAGGGCTCTGTGATGTCTTTACAGGTCCTGGGCAAACTATAGTTATCTTAATCCCTTTCGTACAAAGCTGCAATAGAAAGGTACTAAAACTAAACATGAAGAATACATAATGAAAAATTTAATAATGGAAGTCAAGCAAAACAGCATAGACACATAGTGTATACTCTGTATTGAACTTTTATTCTTTTAAGATAGGTGCTGACAAAGGAACCATCAAACATGTTCAAGGAATTGTCAGCTTCAAAGTAACCATGAAATATCAAGATTGGTAATGCTGCATATTCAATTCCTTGAACATGTTTGATGGATGAGCATTACCATGAAAGAATCAAATCATTTTGATTCAATTTGTGAATCAGATTCAAATGGGAAGAATCTGCTTCAAATAATTTCAATCTGGATATTTATTTTGATTCGAATAACTTTAGAATACAATTATGAAATATGGGTATATCTGGGATTCCAGGTATATTCTATTCATATAGCATTTGTGAATCAAATCTCTCTCTCTCTCTCTCTGACACACACGTTCACACTCACACACACACGCACAAAGATTCACACACACACACACACACAACTACACACACAAATACGTGGGGGTCTGAGCAACGACGCTGTTAGACCCCGACAACAATGGTTCGCGATCGGGAAGGAGCAACGCCGACGTATTTGACAGCAAATACGTGGATGAATCGTGGCTCCCTCTGGCAATGATCAGCAGCGGCAATGGTGATTTTCAGCATTACCCACAATGGTAGCTGCCATCGGCGGTGATAGGGCGGGCTTCCTACGGAGTAGGCCACTTTGATGAATAGCGGCTTCAATGAATCTATAGCTGTTTCAACTCTAGATCTCTCAACAAGATGATTAAAAAATGACATCTTGAGCTCTTCTCTTTTGCCTCTTCGTGTTTTCTTCTTTATGCCATCATCAAAGAATGAGACATCCCCCTTTTTTGATGAATCTATCCCAATCTTTGACGATTTTTTGATGAACTGAAAACTCATGGTTTTTGTTTGGGTCCCACAGGTGGTGCCAAAATGATGGTGTATTTTATCTCGACCGGAGTATCGTTCTTGGCCAGACACAAACAATAAAATAGTCTAACAAAATACACCAAATTACGAACACATGGAATTTTAGGTGGAAACTCAATCGGGAGAAAACCACAAGCCCTTTTCGGCAGTACCTAGCCAACGGGGAGATTTTATTAATATCAGTTATCAGGGGTGTACACAATAGAAAATTTAGGCTTAGAAAGCCATTAAAGAAAGCTTGCAAGCTTCTTGAAAAAGAAGATGCATGTGGGGGAGAGAGTGTACAGGGGAGTGGTGAGAGGAGAGAGGCCTCCCCAATATTAAAGGAGAAGGATAATGAAAGCTTGCAAACCCGGGGAATATTCTATTATTACCCCTCTTTATTTAATAGGCCCGATCAGATTGATCTTCATAAATACTCCGTAATTGAGAAATCTGGACCGGGTCAAGATTTATTTCCCATCAGAACCAAATTCTACTCATTTAAAACAAACTCAATTACAGATTTACACCTCTCGACATGTCATTTACAAATTCTTGCTCTGACTTTTTTAAATTTATAACTTGCAATTAAAGAGTGGTATCCATCATCTCCGATGGAGCCAAAAATTCACCATTTTTTGGCTTTGGGGTGTGATGGAATAAATCAAAATGGATCTCTAAACTGTCTATGCTTCTTTAATTAATGAAGTAGCAGTTAGTCAAGCAATGCAACTTTCGACGTTGAGTCGGGGGTCTCTTTGGAAACAGCCTCTCTACTTTCGAGTAGGGGCAAGGTCTGCGTACACACACCCTCCCCAGACCCTACTCTTGTGGGATTTAACTGGGTTGTTGTTGTTGTTGTTGTTGCAATTAAAGAGTGATATCCCTTTATGCTACAACCATTCCATACATATCATCCCGCTTCCGTCACCGTCTTTGCCGGCTTTAAAATTCAAATTCTAGAATTGAAACTCTATGTTCCCATACAACATTTGAAAGTTGAAATTATGGGCTTTCAAAAATTGGAATTGAAATCTAAAATTTCAAATGAATTATAGTTCCCAAATACAAACTACTTTTTAAAAGTTTATACATACCGGATACGAATAGTTTCTACAATTACTGTATTCCAATATTATATCAAAATATTCAATTAGATTTTATTTGTTTCCAACCCTATGGATGATCTAAGTCAACATACTTCAAGTTAGACCCTGTAAATGTATAATATTTTTTAAGAGGAAAAAAGGTTTACCAAATAAGCATCACCCCCATACTAAATGACATGTGAACAGGAAAAGTGTATACTATGAGCTTGTTCTCTTTGTCTGAATCTGATCTTGTTTTATTAAGGTCCGATCTAATCTAGTTGATTGTAGTTAAATTTAAAGTTATTTCTGATCTGGTCTAGTCTCGTCTGATTCCAATAAAAATAAGTAATGAGTAATGAAAATAAGTTGAAGAGAACAAGCTCTGAGTGCAAATAATGACTAAGCTACAGATAATGTCACAATAGTAGATTTGACAGCAAACAGGAAGCATTAAATCGAGTCTGGTTTTTTTGACACCAAGGGCCGGTGCCACAATATGACACTAGTCCATTTGAAGGTCCTAATGTGCTCCGTTTGACCCCGAACTAGTTTTTACTCCCTTACCCTGGCACCCACCCATTCCCGGGTAGCAATCCACTTTTGATAGTATGGGGGGGGGGGCTAGGAGGTGTGGGGGGTTGAAACCACTTCAAGGTTGAACTGATCACCGTACGACCCTCAAATGGACTTGGTGTCATATTATGACACTGGGAATGAGTGTCAAAAGGACCCTTCTTTCATTTGTTTTAATTAACATTCATTTTTAGGATGGTATTGTGGAGACTCAAGGGAACATTAGAGGAAATGGGACTTGAGCACACCTCAGAACGCAATGTGTGAAAATACCCATTCAATGCACATTTGGAAGCTGAGTATACTGCTTGACCTGGTGCAGGAGCTTTACCAGCAGCACTGCTCATCTGCATGTCATATTAATAACCAGTTAAAATGTCATTTTTACTTCTATGTCAGCTTTTCATTAAATCTAGAAAGGAAAGTTTTATCTCCTAGTTCCACTTACCACAACAAAATGTCCTCTTCCCCGCTTCAGCATGTAGGGCGCCAGCAATCGCGTCAAAGATATTGGGCCCAAAACATTCACATCAAATGTAGCCTGCCGACAATATTGTACAATACATAACAAGGGATCACTCAGCACTCAGCAGCAAATATATTGCATTTATGAATTATGACAGTCCAAAGTACTCCGTTCATGTTTTCTATCTTAGCATGTAGCTTGTGCATGTCTGCTTTCGGTCTTGTTGTTAGTGTCAGTATGTGTTTCTTGTGCATATGCTCTTGCTTAGTTCATGCTAATGTGTTTTCATTGTTTGTACTATTGTATCCGAGCCGATGTCTCTTGGAAACAACCTCTCTACTGTCAAGTAGGGGTATGGTCTGTGTACACAGACCCTCCACAGACCTACCTTCCTTCTGTGGAATTTTACTGGGTTTGTTGTTAATGTTGTAAAGAAGGAGCCTCTTATACTAAGTGACCAAAGACCTTTCAACCTTCAAGAGTAATTCAGTAATTGCATTCTTCTTAAGAATAACTGAATATTAAAGTCACCTCTTGCATAGTAACTCTCTTTTTTTCTTCTTTTCGTGGTGGTGGGTTTTTTTCCCAGGGGTGAAGTAGTTCTTACATAGTTGCAGTAAAATGTTTTAGCTAACTTTGATCCTGATGGATTTCATCATTCTTTTTACAAAATGAAACAGAGCACTGGCTGAAATAAGTCCTATTAGTGTTATGTCAAGAACATGCTATACAGATACAAGTATAAAATAATACCTTGAGACTTTCTTCTGTGACATCCAGTGCTGTTGTTTTCTGCAAACAGGTAACTGATTGGATTTACAGCATTAAAAAATGACCTCAATATGGCTTGACCTACCGGTTATGATAGATGGGCATGTTCTCAAAGGTAGCAATCTACATGAAAGTAAACTGAAGTTACAATTACACCCTTAGCCCTCCCCTCTGCACCCACACTTCTCTCTTCTTATATACGTAGTACAAGATTTGGCATTTTTTTTTTGGCAAAAGAATCAGTTTTAGTGCACCCTGTTAAAGCTTGAGTTACCACTTACCACTAACTTTGCTAATCACAAAAGGTTAGCAATCCAATCATTGGAATGCTTATTTACTTACAGGTCGCTCATAGGCTGCATTGTGGAACATATAATCCACGCCAGATCCACCAAAGAAAGATTCAGCTTTCTCTACAGCCTTCCTAAGAGCATCTTCACTTGCTGTCAAATCTAGAGGCAAAATCTCCACTTGATTTGGTGCATGTTTTCCTAATTTGCACAATCACAAGAACTCCTAAATTAGAAAAGCTGAAAAAGACCAAGCAAAACAGTTCTTTCTTTACTGAATCTTCCTCCAGAAACACCTACCAGAAAGTTGCAGCCTCACGCGCTCTAGTTCAGCCTCATTTCGTGCAGATAAAATGAGTTTTGCTCCTATGCTGGCAAGTTGCTTCGAAAGGACCTCCCCTTTTGATTTGCAGACAAACATGTGAGTACATTAAAACTTCATCAAAATCGGGAAGCAGCAACTAATCAGCAACCAATTGATTACGATTAACTTCATGGTACCATAAAAAGATAAGCATCTGCCTACCTATTCCACGGCTTGCTCCAGTAATCCAAATAACCTGCAAAATTTACAGGTTCTGAAATAAGAGGAAGAAAGCAAGTAGCAATCTAACGAAGCAGCACGCAGAAACTGAATGCTTTAAAAGAACTGCAAATATATATGCTCCCTCTATCCCAAAAAACTTCATTGTTTGACTTTACGCAGCTCAAAAAATTTAAAAAAGTGTTTTGAAAAGTGTGTGAGTGAAATTTGTTTAAACGAGAGAAATTTTGTAAGCCACATCTTCCTTACTGAAAATGCAGAGCCAGAGGGTGTGTGCGCACCCGCACAGGCCCCCCAATTTCAAAGTCCCCAATAATTTTAGATGCCCATCCTTCTAAGTATTTGACATTTTGAAATCAATTTTTTGAATGGAGTACAAGCATGTATTGTAATAGTCCAAGTTTTGCACATTTCATCATGAAAAGATCAAATTTAGCACTATCTTTACAACACGAGTAGAAGTATAAATGTGAAGTTCATTTTTTGGACATCCAAATAAGGGAAGTATGAAGTTGGGAGTATGTATACTCAGTGTTTATGAAGAAACAATCTAACCTTGTCTTCGATTTCTTCACGCTTCACAGTCTTCTTGGAAATTAAAGTGAAATCCCCTGAAAATAGAAGCAAGTTTCAACATAAGAAATACTTGATTATCAAAATAAATGATGCAGAAACTGGGGAATCATAGGGCTGCGAGAGTTTACGAAAGAATGAATTGAACCCATGGATGATAAGTCTCCGTGATAAAGAAGACTGTAAGAAGAACGATGAATAAATGAGAAAGGTACCATCGGAGGTGATGAACTTGAACAAGACGAATGCGGCAAAGCAAGCCGGGAAGATACAAGTTAGGGACAGGGTGAAAATTAGACTCGCCATTCGTATTCCTCCTCCGATCCAGTTCCCCTTCTTCCTTGTTCTCTTGTTGCTTTATTTTATAAAATATGATGTACAATTTTTGTGCATAAAATTTAAGACCATTTTGATTTCATACATAAAATATTTTTTAATGTCAAATTGATATATTTGATTATTATTTGATATAGGGATTCTATTTTATTTTGTTATGGTGGTTTGAGATATTACTGCGTATATTTGATAACTTCATTATCACACTTTAATGTCTCAATGAAACTTAATGATATTTTACGTTAAGTAATGTATTATATGATGAAATAAAATCTCTCTCCATTTTATACCCCAAATCATTTTAGAACGGAAAAAGTAAGTACAATACTGGAAATGCAATCTACGAATGATGTAAAAGAAGTCAAGAGAGTGACATGTGACAATTTTTTTCAAAATATGGTAGATCTCGTTAACATATTTACGGTCATGCATAAGGCTAATTTGAGATTAAATACTAAGTATTGGTTTGCGGTATATGAGCAGTAATTCTTGGGCTAGGTCATGGGGAGCGAGAAAAAGCATAAAGGTAAACTCAAAAAATGTAAGGATGATATTGAAAATGTAATATCTAGGTAGGTAACATAAAGGAAATCCAGTAGTTGATACGGCGATTAGTAATCTTGAACAATTTTTTGTGAAAACTTGCAGAGAGAAAATTATTGTTTTCTATGATCATGAAACAAAAATGGACCCTTGAGTGTCAGAAAGCTTTCATAGAGCCAAATGCATATTTAGCTAATCCTCTAGCCTTAACGAAGCCAGAACATGGCGAGGTGTTGGTCATGTATATAGCAGTGGCAGATTGTCCTTGATGAAGGAAGAGACCAGAATCCAACACGTGCCTGGTCTATGACATGAGCAAGATGCTTAGGGTGCCCGAGATCTAGTACCCCCATGTCGAGAAGACAATGTTATTAATTTTTGGACGGCGAAGCAACTGATCTCGTATTTTTCATGCACATCTCATAACAGGTAATCATTAACGAACCCTTGACAATCTTGTCGAAAAAGAATCGAGATATGACTTTCATGTTGTTGTTTTAAAATAGAAGTTACAATATTACCAATGTCAATTTATAATATTAATAATTAATAAAATATTATAGAATGTCAATATACAATATCACATTGTCATAATATAAAGGCTTTTGTTTGTAGAATAATCAGTACTCCCTATGTTTTACTTCTACTTAAATAAATAAAAATATTACGAGTATTACTTTATAATTTTTTTATAAAAATAATACTAAAATTATTAAAATAGTTATGATCCACAATTTGACTTGGAAGTTGGAACTATTATTGGAAGGAAGGTCAGTGCTAAGCGAAGACTCCGTCTTCAAAGAGCAGAAACAATGAGCAGCAAATTTCCGGCGCCGATCACCGCTCTCATTCTCCTCCTGCTGTTCATTGCTACCACTCAGAAGACTTGCCTGAGTTTCCAGTCCGACGAGCTCCTCGTCGAAGACGAAGATTTCGGTCTCGAAGGAGGGATAGAGATCAGATCTCCTCATCCTGATGTCGCCACTGCATCGCCATCTCCACCTTCTCGTGTCCATTCCCCCGGAAAGAAATCTTCTGCTGCCGACGGCGATTCCAAGGTCCAGTTCTCTTTGGAACACGCATTCGGAGTCTCAGATTTTTCACCCGCAGGCACCTTCACCGCTCGCCTCAAAACCTCTTCTCACAGCGGCCAGGTTCATCCCCACCCCCTTTCATATCATCTCGTTATCTCTGCACTGCAATTAAACTGGCCCATAACCTATTGGAACAGTTTTTTTCCCTTAACTGTCGGGTGTGTATAATTACTGAGATTCAAATCAATAGTGAAACATCTAACACCTGATGACTATTTCAATGGCGGATTCGGAAATGTGTTCCTCCTAACTTTATTTAGGGTTTATTTAGGGATTTCGAAATGACACCTTATTATATTAAGGGTTTATTCAGGGATTTGAAATTGTGTTAACCATATTTTATTTAAGCTGTATTTTAAACCAAATAAGGAAATTCCATCCCCTTAATTGGGCGCTCTCCTAGTGTACAATAGCCACTATAATTTATATAACCTGAAAAGATACATCCTTTCTGCTCCGTCTGATCAGAAGTATCTTAGTGAACTACTGATTAGCAACAAGGTCTTGGAACTCAAAGAATATAGCTTTTGAAGATATATTCAGGAAAATCTATACTTTTTTCTATTTACATGTGAACAACAGTGGCCTATGCATTGAAAAGAGTTGGCATACCTTTTTTTTCTCATCTTCATTAGAATGATAGAAGAAATTAAAGTTTGACAAAATAGTTTCTTGGTAAAGATACACTTATGTGTTTTGCCTATTTATGCCTAATTATAAATCGAGAGAAGTTTAATTGATTATTATGTACTAATACTTTATTTGAATCAAATGTATCAGAAGCTCACAAAACTCCGCTTCTCCAGAAGTTCTTTTACTGAAGCCGAGAAAGAAAATTTCAGAGTAACTCCTTGGTCTAGTTTAATACGTTTGAGCCTTCTTCATTAGTTCATTCCATTTGTGACATGTCTCTTATGATGATTTATTTGTGTTACTCAGAAACTCTTGGAAAGCGATGATTTTTATACCATAAGACTGCCATCGAATGTGTTGAACCAACCTGGAAAGGAGTATGTGGTCTCATCAGTAAAAGCTGTAAGTTTGACTCTAACCATGCTTGCATGCCATGAAACTGTACAGTAAAGTGCATCTAAAAGCTTGATATGAACTATGAAGATATGAGTGATTAACTGTGTATACATATGAATGCCAAGTTATGTTCCTTTCAACTCTTTTAAAAATTGTATTGTATATAGCATCACCTACGTCAATGTCAGCTGCGCTGTCCGAACAATGGTTTGAGGGTAAAGTGTATTATGTATTGACATTGAATAGCGAATAAAGCCTACCGGGTAGTAAATAAAAGAGTAATGGGTGAAAATTTACCATTCAGTATGCAAAACAGAGGTGTTGCTGCACTCTTTTATAGTGCGTTTGGATTGGGGAGAATGAAGGGAAGGGAAGGGGAGGGTAACGGAAAGAGGGGGTTAATTTATGCTACGTTTGGTTTGGAAGTAAACAGGTTGAGAGGAAAAAGAGGGGAGGAGAGGAGACCCTCCATTTCCCTCAAAAGTGATCCCACCAAATCAGAGTCACTTGGAAGGAAGGAGAACAAGGGCACTCCTCGTCATCAGAGCATGCGCAGCGGCGAGGCATTTCCTCGTTCGCTGCGCCACATCAGCATACTCGGCAATTTGCCTCGCGTGGCTTCAGCCTCCCTCCATGCCAAGCGTGTGAGGCGCGAGGCATCTTCAGTTCTTTTTTTTATTTTTTTATTTTTTTATTTTTTAGAAGAAATAAATTTTTTAAAAAAAGAGTACATCTATTTAAAAAAAGATAAATGAAATAATTTTTAATAATTAAAATGCATTAAAAAATCATAAAAATTGACAAAAACAATGACTTGCCACTGCATGAGATGCCTCTCCACTCACTTGCCACACGCTGAGTGGGTTGTCTTTTATTGGTTGAAATGTGCCACGTCAACGTGTGGCATTCCATTTCGTTACTTACCATTGCCCGTGCTCTCAGAATCACCATATCAGAATTGCCATCATCAGAGTCATCCTCATCGCGGAGCACATACTGGAGCAGCGTTTCGTGATCGACAATGTTCAGGCAATGGCAGACCACTGGCGTAGGCCACCAGGGGGCCACAAGCAACACTGCTTCCTCACTCCTGCGACTGCTTTTGCTTGAGGAATTCCTAGCTCAATTTCTTGCGCTGCTTCCTCACTCCTGCGACTGTTAATGCTTCCTTCATTCAAAGTATTTAATCCAAACAAGATATCATCCTCTCCCTTCCTCTCCTCTATAATACTCTCCCTTCCCTTCCTTTATGGAACTTTATCCCTTCTATCGCTGGTGTTGGCTGAGCAATCATTTACTCTCTCTCTCTCTCTCTCTCTCTCTCTCTCTCTAACATTTTACATGCAATAAACTTGATGGAATAAAATTGGGGTTTCTACTTTCTACTTACTTGACTTTGCACCCGTTGTATGAAAAATGCACTATTGATATATATATTTAACGTATTCTGTGAAGTTTATTTTCCTCAATGAGATGGTTGACAGCACTTTTGAATTTTTCCAGAGGTGCCTTCCCCGGGATGGTTTGGACGAACACTTTTCCATACACATGGTAATGTCAAACGCTAGAATCTATTGTCATCTACGCATTATCCTAAATTGGTTTTAAGCTTCTTCTTTATCTTTGCTCTCTTACGTATTAACTTGAATATTAAGTTCTGGGGTTGGAGTGTATTGACTATTGAGTAACTGGATTGAAATAAATTTGTAGACTTGATATTTATGAAAACTTACACAGCCATTCATGTTCATGGCACCTTCAAAAATCAAAATCTTCTTGTCTAATTAATAACTCTGGTTTTATCACATGTATATTGCAGGAGGGTGTCAACATTATTGGTGTTAGTTATGGTTCTCCTGGTTCATGTCCGTATCCTCGACCCTTTAAAGTTGTAAGCCCCAACCAATAAACTTTAATTTTGTCTATACCCTCATCCAAAACATGCATGTGTGGCAGCCAAAGAAGTCTTGTACAATGACCAAACCTTATGAATGTGCTGCAACCTTTACTGATCAACATTGCACGACCGATCAGATGTTTCGAACTTTGACGGCTGCATTTCCTTCTGAAGCAGTATATAAAATGAGAAGGGTTCCACTGTTTGGAATTTTGTTTGCGGATTCATTTAGTTAGATTATTCTAGAACACTTCATTATTCATGAACTGCCTTCTTCATTCCCTGATAGGGGTTTGGTGGTATACATGAGGCAAAAGCAAACCTTAAGGCTATGTTTGGAATGTGGAACAGGGTTATGAAAAAAGCTCATGAAAATAGTTTTGCATACTTGGGTTTACCTTGGAAAATACAAAAGAACTCAAGTTTGATTTAAAAGTTTTAAAATTTTAATTTGTGTTTCTTAATATTTATATAATATTATAATGGTAATATATAATCAAAAGGAGTTTGAACAAATATTTATTTTACCATTATATAATTTTATAATGGTAAAATTCCTTTACATTTTCTTTCCATATCATTTCTGAATTGAAAAAAGACCCCAAGTGAATGATTATATCTCAAATCTGAGCCCCCTCCCAATGGTTTTTATCATTCACTCATTCCGTTATCAATTGATGCATTTTGTGGTGTACACTTGTGTGCTAATTATGCCTCTCTTGTTCTGGATGAAAGGATATTCTAAAATATGCTTGAACCTCATATAATTGCTAATAGATTTGAATCAGGTGCACCATATACCTTTACAAGCTCTTTAACACTAGACGCTATTAAAAACTCCTTTATGTGAAGTGGATGTAATAAAGCATTGACATTTTGATGTTTGAAAAAAAAAGACTCATTGTCTTTGCTTGCATGATGCTACTTCACTTTTTTCAAATATTGAAGTTGAATTTCATTTTGTAATAGAAGTTGCATGTCTGGTGTAGAATATGCTGTAATAAATTTTGAGCATTATTGTTATATGATCCTAGCATCATTACATCAATTGGTATGGTGTATCTAGCAAGTAACCCAGGGTTTACAAACTTTTCTGAAGTACATATTTTCGTCTTTTTCACAGCCTTCAAAGTGGTCCTTTAACTCGTACACGGTATTAAAAACAACCGAGCAGGCTACCAAGTAACTTTCTATCTTCCTTTTTTGGTTTCAGAGCAATATTTCCATTTTCTTGAAATGAAAGAATTGTGTGGTTGATATTCTTTCTAAATTAATTGCCCTACCCAATTTCATTATCTTTATAGACATGTCTATAGCAAATGGAAAGCTTATTAGGGAATATCTATGGACCATGAAGAATTATGCGACGTAGTTTGCTTTATTTATGTTATATGATGCTGTAAGAGTCTTAGATAAGAAGGATGGATTTGGTCTTATTTTTTTCACATAATGAACACTTTGGAAAGCTGTTAGCTACTCTGTATATATCTTCGTTTTGCGGATGTTTGGATCCCGGAGAATGCTAAGGAAAAGAAAAAATTAGAGGTTATTTTCTTTTGTTGGTTTTACTATGGAAAGGGAAAAGGAAATATGATTTGTTTTTAACTAATGCTTTTACATGTATTTAAATTTATTAGTCCTCATACACTCAAATAACTAAATCAAATATCAACAATTACCCCAGATTAGTTTATTGATTTTTACCCCTATATTTTCCCTCAGATATTCTTACTTTCCAACTTCCGACTATGTTATCCTTCTTATAATCTTACCCCTAGCATTTTCTGGGTTCCAAACGGACTCTTCTTATGCTGACCTTTCATTTTTAGCTTTTGCAATTCTCTATGAAAAGTGTTAAATTATGATTAAACCGGTGACCAGCCTGTATTTTTTTTGGAGCAGAACTCCAATACTCTCAGAAACTGTGGCTGAGAATCCAGAAGGCGAAGACGTAAAGCCACCTGAAAAATCATTCTGGGCTAAATATGTGAGAACACACTCAACCAAACAAAATTTGTACTTTGATTTGCTTCATTGCACCCACCCCCTTAGCACAAAAATCCCACTGAGTTTATGTTATGTCTGTTTCAGTGGATGTATCTGATCCCTCTGGGCCTCATAGTCATGAACGCGGTCACCCAAGCCATGAATATGGCCGAAGAACAGACTACTGGGCATGCTCCTGCTCCCGGCCAAATTCAACAACCAACCGGTGGTGGGGTTCAACGCGGGCAAAGTAGTGTGGTCCGAAGAAGATGATGGGTCGTCGAAGGTTTGTTCCCAAATTGCCCTCTGTCTCATCACAATATTTAATGTGTTCAATTTGCAAGTAATCGAGTTAGAGTTTCTTGTGTCAACATATATCTATGTAGAATGACACAATGAAAGGGTTCCTCTTTAATTTTTTCTGCTAGTCTTGTCATGCTCTGCTAGTTTCAAGGCATACACATGAAAGTTGAAGCAATTAGTGTTTTTTTTGTTGAATCGCTCAAAAATGAATGTTTTTTTTACTCCGTATTTCAAAATGTAAAGTACTACCTTGGACACCTGCAATACAGGTTGTTTCAGTTCTTGCTACTCAAGGTTTCTTGAAAGTTGAAACTCGATTGTGAATTTGAGTTGTGATGAAATAAATTTTGGAGAGTGCATAATATGAATGAATTTTGCCCAAAAAAATTGAATGAATAAAACTCCTTTCAGAAGAGGTTTTCACAGAAATTAAGCCTCTTGTTTAATATGTGGACTGACGGATGGCTATAGTTTTTCTATACAACAACCCAGTTGGATCTATACAGTGATGAATTTTAAATTGCACTGCTCTTAATTTTAACAATTTTTAAAACTTGGTAAAGTAAAAAGATAAAGTTCTTTCAAAGAATAAACCAACAAGGGATTGTTTAAAAACTACTTTGAGAGTTGCAGACAAGGAAAATCCAAAGTTTGATCCTTACAACGGGAGAGAGGTATTTTTAGTTTTTGAGATCCAATAGCCCTCAAAGATTTTACTCAATGCGTCTCACAATGAATTAATTATCTCTTTTGATTAACGTACAAAATTTGTGACTTTTAAAACAATTTTATTTACAAGAGGTGTCAAAAATATTTTATTTTATGAAATGATCAAGAAACAACATTCAAGCAAACAAACAAAAGTTATCGAGGAGTTATAATAGTAAAGTATTATTCATAAATTACACCTATCGATTGAAAACCAGCAAAATTCTTCAGAATTATTGGAAGCTTTGCATGGGAACCGCTGTCATGGACTCAATCATTGGAAGATGATGGATCCAAATTGTTTTTGGAAGCCAAAGATAGATCTAGATTAAAAACAACAAAAACAAATTTAATGGAAATTGCCCAATTTCAAATTTAATACAGTAGTTGGAAGAGGATGAATCATTTCAAATTAGAGGGAATGATGAATCGGTTGAAGATATGGAAGGAGAGGGAGTACTTGACATGAAATTCTCAAATCATGTTTGGAGTATAACATCACACTCAAAACATAACATTATTTTATGTCTTTAGACGATGTGTTATGCGGCTTGATGATGACTTGATAGAGTGCACGCAGATGCCTAGTAAGTGGTTGGTGTGAGTAAAAAAATGTGATGGGCGTGACCAAAAAGTGATGGCGTAATAATATAGACTATTTTGATTGATTGAAGTGATTATGTGTTAAATTTTAATTGGTTGAAATAAAAATAAAAATAGAGAAGAGTCACCACGACGGGATTGCCATCACCCAGCAAGGGGGCTTCACAGTAAAGGCGGCTTGACAGGGCGTGAGGGATGGTGAAGCCCTGCTGCCCTGGGGGCACGCCCCACAGTGAAGTGCCTAAATGTAACAAAAAATTACTTTTTGATACTCTCAATTTTCAGGTAATAACTCACGAAGTCACATGTCTCACATTATCTGAAATATAATTTGTGCACTCTTGATTTTTTGATAAGAACTTTTAAATCCCACATTATTTAAAATATACTCCGGTGTCTTTAAAATTTGTGATATTATACTTCGAAGATACATTCCATCCATTTAGGCATTAAAAATAAAAGTTTATTTATTATGAGAAACGGAAGGATTTTATTATTTAAATTTAATAACATAATAACTATGAAGGTAAAATTTAGTATTTACCAATATACTAAAACTTTTAATTCTAACGGTCAAATAGATTAAATGTACCTAAGGAGTACTCTAAGTCTCATATTATCTAAAATATATTTCGGGGTATCCTTAATTTTCTATCAAGAAGTCTTAAGTTTCATATTATTGGATTCCCAGAAAATAAAAAAACACACAAAAACTTGGATGTTTTTTGGAAAGATCAGATAATCAAGATATCCAAAGAGAGCATAATAAGACCACACAAAATTCAACAACAAAAAAAAAAGACAACATAAACGAGAACAAAAAAAAAAGAACATGCAACAGCGGATTGACGACGAATGAACGTGTTCAAATACTACTCCGTATAAAATACCCGACCCGACCCGAAAACTCAGGAAGTGGGGCACTGGAAACCTTCGGGCGGAATCTTGCCACAGTCGTTGACCAGAACTTGGAGGGCAATGGGCAGAATTATATTAATGTTCAAAAGCTTGGCTCTAATGGTGGTGCAGAGGCATATTCCGGCGTCCACTCCGGCCAGCCCGTTCAACGCCGGGCAACACGTGTCCTTTGCCCCGCCCTGCCCTACTCCGATGTGCACCAGCCCGCCCAGCAGGTCCACGCACGCGCCCAGCTTCAGCGCGTCTATCGGGCACGTCGGCTGCTTTGCCGGCGGCGGACACGGCGGCTCTTGGACAGGTGGGTTTGGCAGAGTGTAGGGTGGCGTCACCACCGGCGGCAGCGGCGGCTTGACGACCGGTGGAGTTGGTGGCGGAGTGATGATCACCGGCGGCGGCGGGTTTGGGGACGCGTAGGGTGGCGTCACTGCTGGCGGCGGAGGGTTAACGGTGGGAGGCTTAGGTATGTATGGCTGTGGCGGATTCACGGTGGGAGGTTTAGGCGAATATGGCGGCGGCTTTACGGTGG